AAGAGAGAGGACAGGCTAGTGCTATAAAGTTGTTACTATGCGCAGGGTCTATAGTAGGGGCCCTGATGCGACTTTCACATGATCAACCATTGTGGCAAAGTTCCCCTTCAGACCACGTTATTTGATTGATGTTAAAAAAAAAAAATGAGACAGGTTGACAACAAAGGTAATATGACACATTATTGGCCAATGATTTAGCTTGAGGTAGTAACTATTAATAACTTGATCAATCAATTTACTCATATGCCATATTTTGATAACCAATTTCTTACAGTAATTCCTTCCACATTTGCATTTTGACAAAAAAAAGTAATGGAGAAAATTACGAGCTTGGCAATAGAAGGCTGAGTTCAAAAAGAGGGCTAGAGGCTGGAGCATATCTTTGGTATTATTGTAGTAAGTACTTCCTTACTTAAAAATAGGGGGAAAAAAAATGTGATTTAGGTGACAATAACTACAAAAGGTAAAATGGAAAAAGTTGATTATATTACTTTTTTTTTATTTAGTAAAAAATGTCTTCGGTACTTATATTGCACCGATATCAACATGGGACACAACACGACACTCTGATACGTTAATTCTAAAAAATTTACATTTCGACACGTTAGGATATGATTTGATATTAAATAATATTTTAATTTATGTATGTATATTATATTTAATATTCAATAATTTAATAAATAAAAAAATGAAGCTAAACTTATAATATCTATCAATTTTGCAAAGAAACATAAGATATTTCAAATATTTATATTAAACTCAATAAAATAGTAATCTTAATCCAACAAATCTAATAATTGGAACTCAAAATGCAACGCAACACAATATTTGAACCCTTTTTTGAATTTCTTCGACGCGTGTTGGAGTGTCGAGAAGTGTCAGACATGACACTTCAATTTTTTTAAAGATTTTTTGAAATGTCGATGCATCATACTTCGATAATATAGGGTGCTGAAAATATTTTCCAGAGACGCAGGTGAATCAAAGCAATAGGTTCAATTCAACAGAATTCCTATTTATGTTTTTGTCTAGGGAAACAAGTTAAAATTAAACTTGGCTTGTATGCAAAGAAAACTCGGTTAATAGTCAATTTGGTTTGAAAAGGAATTACCTGAATCGGAAACCCTTCCAACATGCCAAATCTGACAAAAGAATATACCACCTCTGGCATGAACAGCATCCACAATGGGTTTCCATGCCTCAACTTGCTCTTTCGTTCATATGCCTGGTGTGTGCGGATACCTTCACAGTCACAGATTTATAAAATAAAAAAGAAATCACATTTTTTGTAATGGTTTTTTTTGTTTTTTTGTTTTTTTTTAAGAAGAACAAATTATTTCTGAAGCAAAGTAGAGTAAATCGGAAGAAAGATAAAGTGTAGTGTAGAAATAAAACTACCCTTGAGCAGTGTCAGAGACATCAGTAGCTTCAGCTATGAGAAGACCTCCCTTGGATGTTCTCTGAGAGTAATACAGTATAGCATGAGGTTGAGGAACATTGTTGTAAGATCTCTGTCTGGTAAGTGGTGCCAAAACAACTCTGAATGACAATATTAAAGAAGAAGTGAAGCAAATTGAAAATGGAAAAAAAAAAAACCAGAAATGGTTGTAGAAAAAAAGATGAAAATAGAATACCTATGAGATAGATTGAAGTTGCCCATTTTGTAAGGGGTAAGAAGAGGAACGGGATCTAGTGCAGCCATTTGTAGAAGAAGGTGAGGGATACGATTCAATTGTACCGTAGGTAATGATTGCTTACTTATTATGAGACAAGGCAAATATCGTAGGTATGGGAATTTATAGAAGGAGGAGGAAGCAAGTCAAATGAAGTGATTGAGGCTAATGACACACTGGCTGTGGATGCCGTGTGCTATTGCGCAGGTATACTCACGTTTGACCCATATATTCAGACTCCTTCTGATTAATTAGAATACGAATAGGTCTTATGCATTAAAGATGAGGAGAATGAGAGGCAATTCACCAACCGTGCCGTGTTGAAATTTCGTGAGACGATCTATTTCCATGCTATGTCTTTTCCCATTTTCTCAAGGCTTGCAGCAACCTCCCCTCTACGTAAACACCTTCGAGACGGGGCATTTTGACCTTATTAGTGTCGGGTGGGTATAAAAGGAGTCCAAGTGAATGCTTGGATTTTATTTTTTTTTAGTTAAACCTAAGCTAAGCGAAACATCTTTTGAGAAAAAAATTTATAACGAGAACCTCTTTTTTGTATAATGGAGAAAAAGTTAAAAGCTAAAAACAAATTTTAAGCTCTTATATGTTTTACTTGAATTGTGTATTTTTTTTTAAATGAATAATTATAAAAATAAAGAGAGATAATTTTCTTGAAATATGTGTTTTTAAGCTAAAATTTTTATGTAATTACCAAATAACTTTTAGCATTTTTTTAAGCTCTTTTTTTTAGCTTATAAGTAGTTTCTAGATTAAAAAAAAGAGGATCCAAACATGCTCTAAAGCAGAGGACCATTATCAATGAAATAAGATAGACTAATTGTACTAAAATGGATCGACACCACGTCTCAACTCAAAGTCTTAAAACATTAGATTTATAATTTTTTATTTATTTATATGCACTTCACAGTAGTTCATTACTAATCAATATAGAACTCATTACATTTAAATATCTCAATAATTAATTCAATTTTAAAAAAGTTTCACTAGTAAAATTTATTATCAAATTAATACATAACAAGCGTCAATAGTTATGAAGCACCGATACTTCAAAAATTCTGACGTATCGTGTCTGACACTCTTCGACACTTCTTGACACTCCAATACTCATTGCAAAGACTCAAAAAAGATTCAAAGATTACTGTTGAGTTATATAGTCCCACATTGATTGGATGGGCAACTAATATGGCCTTTATAAGGTCTTGAGCACTCCCACCTCTTGAGCTAGCTTTTGGGGTGGTGACCTCAAGGTTCTTTACATGGTATCAGAGCCTCACCGTCCCCCGCTTTAAAAAGTGGAATTAAAAAAAAAAAAAAAGCACAAACAGGTAAACCAAAAATGGGCCTGTGCAATTCCACGCTTCTAGCCTAAAGGGCTCTTGCGTGAGGGGGCGTGTTGAGTTATATAGTCCCACATTGATTAGATGGGCAACTAATATGGCCTTTATAAGGTCTTGAGCACTCCCACCTCTTGAGCTAGCTTTTGGGGTGGTGACCTCAAGGTTCTTTACAATTACGTTGCATAGCATTTTGAGTTTTAACTATTTGATTCGTTAGATTACAATTATGATTTTATTGAGTTTAATATAAATATTTGAAATATATTATGTTTCTTTGCAAAATTGATAGATATTATAAGTTTAGCTTTAGGGGTGGTGACCTCAAGGTTCTTTACATGGTATCAGAGCCTCACCGTCCCCCGCTTTAAAAAGTGGAATTAAAAAAAAAAAAAAAGCACAAACATGTAAACCAAAAATGGGCCTGTGCAATTCCACGCTTCTAGCCTAAAGGGCTCTTGCGTGAGGGGGCGTGTTGAGTTATATAGTCCCACATTGATTGGATGAGCAACTAATATGGCCTTTATAAGGTCTTGAGCACTCCCACCTCTTGAGCTAGCTTTTGGGGTGGTGACCTCAAGGTTCTTTACAATTACGTTGCATAGCATTTTGAGTTTTAACTATTTGATTCGTTAGATTACAATTATGATTTTATTGAGTTTAATATAAATATTTGAAATATATTATGTTTCTTTGCAAAATTGATAGATATTATAAGTTTAACTTTATTTTTTTGTTAAATTATTAAATACTAAATATAATATACACTACGTAAATTAAAAATATTATATAATATCAAAATATGTAAAATTTAACAATTTTTAAGATTATCGTGTGAGAATCTCGTGCACAGCGAATAATATCACCGCGTTAAGATACATCACATAACGTTACATATAAATCGAGCAGCTCAAATGTGCGTGACTCAATTTGACCAGAGGCGCGGCACATTTGGTATCACGTTTAGATTTGTCAGACCCACCGTTAAAGACGCGGTACTTCAAGAAACGCGTTCAGTGTCCGGTCAACCATAAACGCGGTTGACTTACTGTGTCGTCCTTCTCTTCTTCAGTTTTTCCTTTTCCCACTTCTTTTGTTTTTTTGGCCCTTCTGTAACGCTTTCTTTATCTTCTTCCTTTTTCTTGCATTGTCATTCACATTTTTATGTTTTTCTCTTTTCCTTCCGAACCCATTATAACTTCTTGCATTCTTCTCTCTTCGGTAGATTTTGCTGGACTTCAGAGGAAAAATGAAAGATTTTGCATTGTGGGTTTGATTGGGAAGTTGAATCGCAGAAGAAAGACGGCAAGAAAAAAGAAGAAAAAAAAAACGTTTTTGTTTTGCGTTTGTTGTTGTGTGCCATGGATCAGTCGGCCTCTGTTGCGAGCAGAACCCGTAGCAAGAAAAATTTGAACTTGCAGAGTGTCTCAGATGGTGGATCATCCAAGGGGAGATAGAGGGTTGGTGAACCTGATGTGGTTTTCTTGGGAGAAAACTTTTGTGAAAGTGAAGGTAAAAGGGTCTCTGTTTCAAGTAGTGAAGGTACAGGGAAAATGAAATCTGGGTCTGGAGCTTCATGTTCTATATCCAAGGGGAAACGGAGAAGCTTTGTCTTTACAGCTGATTCGGAATATATATTTTTTCTGTTTGGCTTCCAATTACTATTTTGCCCATAGTTTCTTACCTTGGTTCGGAATATAAGACCGCAACTAATGTTCTAAAACTAGTTTAACGGAAGAACAAAATAAGAATGTTGTTTACGGTTCAATCATTTTCATCATTTGAACCAGTAATCATTTTAATCATTTAAAATAGAGTGGATTAGAGAAAGAAAGAAGAGATCAGTCTTCCTCGCCTCTGACCTCTGATTTTCAAAGAAAAGGAAACTGGCTCAGATCTCTAACTTTTATTAGTTGGGAGTTGTTAGTATCTATGACGCTTACAAACACCATCAACATTACTCTCAACCCAAACTAGTTAGGATCAACATAATAATTAGCAACACTTAACCAAAATAAAATAAAATTGGGTACTGAAATAACCTTCATTTTGGCACAAAGCTCATTATGGCAATGCAAAATCAGGTACATAGCTTTTGCCCAACACAACTTGTTGGCGAATAGCAACATTATTACACAAACTCAAAATAATAGTTTTACATACTATGTGCCCAATTCACCATTTAGAAAATGTGTCAAATGGATCCAAAGTGTTAGCAGACCAAATTGCAAATAGAAATGTGCAAGGGAAGAAAAGCTTATCAAATAAGGAGGTTCTGCCCCTGGATGCTACAGTATTTGTTTCTTCATTCAAGAAATGGGTAGTCAGTATAACCAAGAACTGGATCATTAGCGTAGAATGTCTCCCGGTTATACTTGTTGAGAGGAGCATCAAGCGCAAATCTCTTTGGCAAATCCGGATTAGCCAAGAACCAACGACCATAAGCAACAAGATCTGCCCTGTTTTCAGCTATGGCATTGATCCCGTCTTGTCGGTCATAACCTCCTGCAACCATAAAAGTGCCATTGAAGGCCTTTCTCATTGGCACCAGACTGTGAGGGCATTCAACTTTTTCTCCAACAGTTTTCATTCTGGGTTCAACCATGTGACAGTACAGAATACCATATTTATTGAGGGCATTAACCATATAAAGCCCCAATTCTTTGGGATTTGAGTCTCCACATTCTGCGTATTCCGCAAAAGGTGATAATCGAATTCCAACTCTTTCTGCACCTATCTCATTCACAACAGCTTCAACAACCTCCAAAGGAAATCTGCAACGGTTCTCAAGGGAACCACCATATTCATCTGTTCGGTCATTCACTTTATCTTTCATAAATTGCTCGAGTAGGTAGCCATGAGCCCCATGGATCTCAACCCCATCAAAACCTACAATTTGCACCACCACAAGTAGGTTACATGATTTATAAAACGTCCTAGTTCCTTTCAAAGCAAGGGACAGTCAAGTTTCTGAAACCATATTTTATTATGATTGAAGCACTTCAAATTTTGGAAGCATTTGAACACTAGAAAGTCAGCGAAGTTACCAGCTTCAATAGCATTCCTTGCAGCAAGTCTGAAGTCATTGACAACATGAGGAATTTCATCCGTCCTTAGGCGCCTTGGTGGCGTGAATTGTGCCACATCAATGCCATTACTTCGAATCTGTGGTGTGAGAGGCTTGTCCGTAGACGATATTGGTGCTTGCCCATTTGGCTGATAAACTGTTCAAAATAATATGGAAAATGGGCATACATTGAGCACGTATATCGTGTCCATAAATGTATATAACATGAAAAACTAGTTATCCCACAACAATACTCAATAACAACAATCTCCAAACAACTCCACCTTACTGTCTGTGATGGTAGACCAAGTTATTTGACTAAAAGAAAAAAGGAACGTCTTGTGCTATAAAACATTTACTATACGCAGGGTTTATGGAAGGATTAGTCCTATTGTGTGGGTATATAGTAGGCACCCTGACTTGCGACTACCAGGTCACATGGCAACAATAACAACAGTTGGGGCAAAGATCCCCTTCAGACCAATTTATTTCATTGATTTCAAAAAAAAAAAACATGTTAGGGACAGGTTGACAACAAAGGCAATATGACACATTATTGACCAATGATTTAGCTTGAGTTAGTTACTATTAATAACTTGATCAGTCAAGTTTCCTCACTTACATGTCCCAGCATATGTAATAATTAAGATAACCAATTTCTTACAGTAATTCCTACCACATTTGCACTTTGACGAAAAAGGTATTGGGGTGAAAATAACAGGCAGGGCAACAAAACGCTGAGTTCAAACAGAAGGAATAGGTTCAATTCAACAGAAATGCCCCGTGCATGTTTTTGTCTACCGAAACAAGTTAAAATTAAAGTTGGTTTAGATGCAAAGAAAACTCAGTTAATAGCAGCTAATTTTCATTTGATAAGGAATTACCTGAATCGGAAACTCTTCCAACATGCCAAATCTGACAGAAGAATATACCACCTTTGGCATGAACAGCATCCACAATGGGTTTCCATGCTTCCACTTGCTCTTTCGTCCATATGCCTGGCGTGTTCGGATACCTACACAGTCATACATATAAAAAAATAAAAAAGAAATCACTTTTTATGGAAGGGTTTAATGTTTGTCATTTTAAACAACATACTATTTTAGGAGAAAAATAGACACATAGAATAAAAATAATAAAAGAGAAAGTGAGTGATTTTTTTTTAATTTAAATTTTAAATAAAAAATTTTATTTTGTGAAATTACTTATGTCATTTAAAATTTTTTAAATAAGATTAACTCTGTATCATTTAAAATTACAAACATTAAATAACTTACCCTTGAGCAGTGTCAGAGACACCAGTAGCTTCAGCTATGAGAAGACCTCCCTTAGAAGTTCTCTGAGAGTAATACAGTATAGCATGAGGTTGAGGAACATTGTTGTAAGATCTCTGTCTGGTGAGTGGTGCCAAAACAACTCTGAAAATGACAAGATTAAAAGAAGGGGTGAAGCAAATTGAAAAATGGAAAAAACAAGAAATGGTTGTGTAGAGTTAAAAACATGAAAATAGAACGCATACCTATGGGATAGATTGAAGTTGCCCATTTTGTAAGGGGTAAGAAGAGGAATGGGATCTAGTGAACCCATTTGTAGAAGAAGGTAAGGGATCCGATTCAATTGTAATAACTACTTACGAATGAGGCGAGGCGAGATTCGAATTCAATAACAAGTGGGTATGTGAATTTATAGAAGGAGAGAGGAACAAGTCAAATGAAGTTGTTGTAGCCAATGAGACACGGGTTATGGATGACGTGTGCCATTGCGTAGGTATACTCTCAGTCTCACCTTTGACCCCTTTTCCGACCAAATAAAATCATCAATCACCGCAGCAACACCGTGTCTGCGGGGGCGGCCCATCGTGTTACTGTCAAATGACGAGGGGGAAGATATTCTTTGTTAAAAAAACAAAAATATAATAAGAGAGGAGTATTTGTTATCTTAAATGAAATAAAGTTATCTCATTTTAAAAGAAATAGACACAAAATAATTTTTTTATTTAAAATTTAAATTAAAAAAAATCACTCACTTTTCAATTTATATTTTTTGTGTCTATCACTCTTTTAAAATGACATAATTTATATCATTTAAAATGGCAAACATCGAACCCATGAAATAAATTCTTTTCTCTTTTTATTTTTTAAGAAAAGTTTCTGCTAAAGTGATTGTACCTCGTCCGCTAAACCGTCTACGTTCGTTCTTTTCCAATTAATTTGGGAAGTTTTGATGTGACCAATATCTTTGAAAAGAACAGAACAGAAAAATACAACTTTATGGGTGAGGTACATTCAAGTTTACTATATGGTTGAAGCAACCTACATTGAAGTCTCTGAAACCATATTTTATTCTGTAAAATAAGCATTTTAATATTTGACAGTAGAAACACTTTTGTGTGTGGGCCATTTTTTTTCTTTCTTCTTTTTCTTTTCACTTAGGTCTATACTATCATATATTTTTATGTGTGTGTAAAAGATAAAATTTATCACCTACAATATAAAAAATATTAATCTCATTATTTACAATAGGAGCTCATACCTATAAAGCTCTTTCTCAGGTTACCTGAGTCAAGTCCAATATTATGAATAACTTAAAGAGGAGCTTTATAGGTATTGCAAAACTTATTGCCATTATACAATTGGGTTCACTTTTTCTGCAGTTACTGCATATAAGTTATCTGCAGTAAGCCAATACGACGTCGTTTTGGGACGGAAATCATGGTGTTTTTGTAATTTTAATTTATTTCAGGGTTACAATAGTCTTTATATTTATAATTTTTTAAGATTTCAATAGCAAAACGACGTCATTTTGGAAATAAATGCAGATAACTTATCTGCATTAACTGCAGAAATATTTTCCCCTATACAATTTTAGAAATTTTTAAATAAAATTTCGGAAAGTTATAACTTTTGATTTGAGAATCCGAATTAGGTGCTTTTTTTTATTTCATATAACTTTTCGAGAGCTACGCGTTGAAAAAGTCCTGTAGAATTTTTTTTTAACATATACTCGAGTACATGTTTAATAATTTTATATTTGATAGTAGAAAAACATCAAATATCATTAATATTTGACAGTAGAAAAAACATGGAATAATAATTTGTTTCATGATATGTTTCATAGAATTATAAATCATTATTCTTTAGAGATGTGATATTTATTCTCTATTAAATGAGATTTGATTTTTCCAACATATTCTTCTTTAATTTGTAGAAAATTTATTATTACTTATCATTAAATTTTTCCTTACTAAAATTTGATTTTACTTAAACTTATCTATCATTTACCTAACAACTAATATTAAATATTCTTGTCGAATTATAAAATAAAAATTATTTAGAAAATGTATAATTTACAAAAAGAAATATTATAATAATATGAGAATTTTTATTTTATTGATTTACATTATTCTAATAATTTTTCCTAGTTAAAAATATGTTACCATTTGATCAATTCTAATTACATTCAATACATTACTTTTTAGGCAAATCAGTGGAGGACACTTAGTGTCTGTTTGACATGTCTTATTTTTAGTTTCTTTTAAAAAACTCGTATTATAAAAAAAGAGTTTTTCTTTTATACTGAAGAATAAAGTTAAAAACTAAAAGTTTCTATAAAAAATTTAAGATATATGTCAATTTTTTGGAATCCTCGTATTTATTTTGCAGTTTTACCTTTATTTTAACGGGAATGATATTGAAACAACCAAGTTGTGTTACTACCAATCAATCCCACTGTTAGATCGATTATGTTAATCCAACGGTTATATTTATTTCCATCTTTGTATGATCGTGATTTTCCAAATTTAATACTTTATATTTATTTCCACATTTGTATGGTTATGATTTTTCATATTTAATGCTTTCATTTTAAATATGGGGAATCATAACCATACAAAGATGGAAATAAACATAACCGTTGGATCAACATAATCGATCTAACGGTGAGATTGATTGGTAGTAACATGGTAGTAACACAACTTGATTGTTACAATATCGTTCCCTTTATTTTAAATATATATTTATAAATTTTATCTTTTACCCTAATAATTCGTCCTAATAACAAATCATTTCATCTTATCTCCTTCAAAATCATCGGAACAACTTTATATAATAACAAAATAGTTTTTATTTTTATTTTTTAACTTTAACTTAAAAATAATTTTTATCTAAAAAAAAATGTCAAATAGACTCTTACACTTGACCAAGTAGTACACAAGGCATGAAAAATCTCATCTGAATTAATGAGTTACATCACAAGGCTAATTACTTTTTGGTCTAATACAGGAGTAGTATCAAGCGAAATGAGTGAAATAGAACTCCAATCAGGAAGTATAATAAAATAAAAATCGTAAATTCCCTAGATTTTGATCGTGTAAAACAAAATTATTTTTCTTAGTATGATAGGGAGAATATCATGAATTGTGAAGTATTAATATTATACTTCAACAAAATAAAAACTTAATGTATAATTTGTTAATTAAGTGTGATTCTGAAAATACTTTTTAAATATGAAAAATAAAGTTAATCAAATTTTTGCTAATAGAAAAAATATTAGAATCCCAAAACAAAACAAACAAAATAAATTTATGTCACATTTTTCATATATTTCATCAACATCACCATCCCAAACTAGCTAAATCGACAGGATTACTTTGATTAAATTTGTAGTGGGTGATTTAATTCTGAATATCCTCCGTTTGTGTTCCCACGAAGTTGGATTGCAATTAATCGATAAGAACTAATTTAGGGGAGATTTGGAGGAGATTTTAAAGGGGATACCACGAAAGAAAATTTTAATATAAAAATATCTGAATGGAAATATGGGTAAAAGTAGTTGAGGTTTTGATAAAATTCATGAAAGTTATGGCTACAAGAGGAGAAATGAGGCTGGTAAAGATATCTTAAACGTTGAACTAGCTTATGGGTTGATGCAAACGAACACATTTTTATGAAAAAGGGAATCACATGTAATCACTTATATATTACAGCGGCCGAAATTATAGATAGATTGATTTCTTTCTTGCTAGAAGAAAAGATAGCATATCTTGTGTTGACAGAAAAATCTACCTGGAGAATATATAACTACTCAGTGTATGTTGGTAGATCTAGAGGTACAGTCAGTGTTAATAAAATCGAGATCTCAGGCACGATCAATATAGGGTAAAAGGATCGTAAATAGTGGGATCAACATGGATCGTAAAATCCTACTACAAAAGATACAAAATTATATTCAACTATGTAAATGCATATAAAATAACTTATATCAAATGTAAAACTCATAAACATAATATAAAAGTCATAAGACTCCTAACTCATAACATAAGTTAAGGAGAATAAGTCATAAATAATAAAAGAGTTCAGTAGACAATAAATAAAACCAAAACACCAGAAGAAAAAAAGAGTTCAACATCTCTAATTTAAATAAAGTCATTCATGAAAAAGCCTTTTACAAAAAGAAAATAATAATAATAATCATGTACAAAAAAGAAAAAAAAAAGCCATGACAATCTTTTACAAAAAGAAAAAGAAAAAGAAATAACATCATTTAAAAAACAAAACAAAACAACCTTTTACAAAAAGAAAAAATAATAAGAACAAAAAAACAAATAAAAAGAAAAAATGATAAGAATAAGAAAACAAACCAGCCTTTCTTAAAAGTATTTTACAAATATTAGTTAGTTTGCAATATTAGTTAGTTAGTTACATCTTCTTCTTTATTGAATTTTGTATATATACAGATCAACGTATCGTTCTTAAAACTAAGAAAGTAATATTCAGATTAATCTCTCATGGAGTTCTTAGATTCTTTCCTCTCTCTCTTTATGAATTATGTATACTTGTAATATGGTATCAGAGCTCAGGCTCTAGTATCCATTCTTCCGCTGCTTTATCATACTACTCTTTCATTGTTAATTATTTTCTTGATTTTTTCTTTTTTCTGCATCATCAATGGCAGATCCAATTCCAATTCCAGAGTACTTAACCAACCCTGGACATCCTTTCTTTTTACATCTGAATGAGAATCCAGCACTCGTTCTTGTTACTCCTTCGCTCAGTGGAAAGAATTATCACACTTGGGCAAGAGCTATGAGCATGGCTTTGATATCCAAGAATAAACTTGGATTTGCTAATGGTTTATTTGTTCCTCCCGGTGCTAATGATCCTCTCATTGCAGCATGGCAACGTTGCAATAATATGGTCCTTGCATGGATACATAAATCGATTAGCACCTCCATTGAAAATCCATATTATGGATGGGTCGTGCTTCAGATATGTGGATTGATTTGAAAAATTGTTTCAGTCAATCAGATATTTTCAGACTTTCTGATATTCAAGAAGATATTTCAAAACTTCAACAAGGAGAGATGAACATCACTGATTATTTCACAGAACTGAAAACTCTGTGGGATGAATTTGATAATCTTCGTCCTCTACCAAGGTGCCAATGTGTTGTTCATTGTAACTGTGGTCTTCTTAAGTTAGTAAGAACTCATCGAGATCAAGATCAAACTGTGAAGTTCTTGAAAGGTCTAAATGAGCAATATGCTCATGTTAGATCACAAATTATGATGGTAAATCCCCTGCCTCATATTAGCAGAGCCTTTTGGTTGCACAACAAGAAAGACAATTTCAGCCTTGTTCCCAAGGTGAATCATATTTAACATCTCATGCTTTTTCTAATGTGTCAAACAATGGCAGGAAATTTTTTGCAAAAAGAGGAAAGACACGTTTTAATTCCAGTAGT